TTTGGCATGTGATATAAACCAATCAAAATCAACGATTTCTGTGTAACCCGGGAAATTTGAAAAATCCCCGGCAAATATACAAGTACTGTATATTAAAATTTATATCATTGTAAAAAGCATATTTTAACAAAAATTGTGAAAATACCATGCTGATCATATGACCGAGTCCCACAGTTAGTCGTACCTTAGCGGCTTAATATGGGTTTTTATATGTAATACTTTTTATTACGTACAAACTTTACCATTGTTGATCGACAAAGTCGGCACTTAACTAATTTTAACTAATTCGCCAACCATTCAGGGTATGAACTTCATTTAATGTGTCAAAAATGACACCATGTAAGAGCTGGACTGGTTTTAGACCAGTACTGAACTCCCTACTAGTCCCTAAAAAGTCCGGTCCGGAACCAGTTCCCCGTGAACCACTTAACATCCCTATACGATTTGATAAAATCACATCCATATCGGTCAGTCGTACCATGCTGATCTTCGTAACACCATACGGATACGTATGTTAAAAAAAAATAATGTCATTTAAAAAAATTGACTTTAAATGTTTATAACGATTGCATAATTAGATTAAATCTTTGGTTGACACGACATTCTCAAGGGCAAAATATTTAAAATTTATGTGCTATGCGAATAAATTAACCACTTCCACTTAACAACAATCATTTTGCTTTCAGTGTTAGCAATTGTAAAACACGGCTTATCGAGATAAAATATTGTGTGAATTTCTACATCAGAAAAGGACTTTTTCTCCATTCTTTTTACAGATGCCGTCAGTTCCAAGGAATTTTAGAAACATTATATTCATTTTATTGCTTATGCTCTCCTTTGTAGTAATTTATCATCTAAATAGACTGGCTTCCTCACAATTACTGGAACATACATATGATACATATGGAGCGAAAAACAATATGATAAATAATATCGTGTTTGTTGTTTCCGAGGACCAAGTAAACAGTCTACAACCTATTTATTGTCAACTGTCAAAGATGGAAAACGCATATCTTCATGTAATATTTATCGGTCGGAAGAAAAACTCGTTTTTTTTTTTTTTTTTTTTATACATATATAGATATATAAATCGGGCAGCCGGATATATTCAGAAGTTTCAGTGTTATGAAAACCAAAAAGCAGCTTAATGTTCAGAATTTATTATAATTCATTAAATGAAAATGTTTGACACTTAATTTTGCATACGTATAATCGTAATACATTTTTTTAAAACGTTGCATAAAGAAAAGAATTAGAATCGTGTGCACTACACATCACATTAGTATTATAAATATATATATACACCTGGTATATTGCAATTCAGTAAAACTATTTCAAACATTCGAATTCTGCGTTGATTCACTCTTAATAGCATTTTGTCTCATCTCTTCAATAGCATTTTGTCTCATCTCTTCAATAGCATTTTGTCTCATCTCTTCAATAGCATTTTGTCTCACCTCTTCATTCACACATAATAAGTCTTCAGGATCATATTTTATTTCGTTAGAGTCATTCGGTGGACATTCTGAGACTTTAGAATGAAGTGAGCGCCCACGTTGAATTATTTCTTCGCTTGATACAACATTTCCTAAAAGATCCATTATTGGTAAATTCTCAAATTCCGGTAATCGACTTTCTGGTAGCCCTGTTATCACATTATTCTCACTCATTAATGGCAGTCCATAAACAACTGGACCATTCGAGCTATTAATGTGAGTACCTCGTTCTGCATGATTAGTAGAAAGACTGACAAAATTATCGTAGTTCGGATAGAGCATCACATATCCTCGAAGATATATAAGTTCTATGAAGAAA